GAAGTATCCGCAGCCTTTTGTATGTTAGCCGTACATCAATAAAGTGGTTCAAACAAACAAGCAAAAAAGAAAAGAAACTTGTATGATTTTGTGAGCCGCGAGGGACTCTGGGAGACAGGACCGTTTTGGCGGTTTGTGTCTGTTTGCACGACCCTGTTCAAAACCCATGCTGGGCGGGGTGCACTGCCGACTGCGGCCTCCCTGAGACGCGACTGCACGTGGACACTTAACTGCCTCAAAGGAGAACATTTAATTTAAAATGTCACCTCCTTTTGCAATGGTGAAGACAAATGGAGCTGGAAGAACTGGATAGCTATGCTTAAAAAGTGAACCTCAGGCCGGGCGCGGTGGCTCACGCCTGTAATCCCAACACTTTGGGAGGCTGAGGCGGGCAGATCATGAGGTCAAGAGATCGAGACCAGCCTGGCCAACATGGCGAAACTGCGTCTCTACAAAAAATACAAAAATTAACTGGGTGTGGTGGCACATGCCTGTAGTCCCAGCTACTTGGGAAGCTGAGGCAGGAGAATCACTTGAAACCAGGAGGTGGAAGTTGCCGTGAGCCGAGATCACACCACTGCACTCCAGCCTGGCTACTAACAAAAGCGAACCTCAAGCATTACCTCACACTGTACACGAAAATCAACTCAAAATGGATCTCAGGGCTAAGTGTAAGAGCTAAAATGGCTGCTCTTCTGGAAGACAGCAGAGGAGAAAATATCTGGACATTGGATTCAGGAACCATTTTCTAAACAGGACATCAAAGCAGGTATTATAATAGAAAACAATGAAAAAAAGATGTTTGCTCTTCTTTTGGTAATTAAGCAATTTAATTTTCCACCAGCTTTATCAAGGTATAATTAGCAAAGAATAATTATATATATTTAAGGCGCACATGTTTTGATATATGTATACATTGTGAAGTGATTGCCACAGTCAAGCTAATTCACACGTCCATCAGCTCACAGCTACCCTTTCTGTGGTGAGATTACCTAAGATGTACTCGCTAAGCGAATCTTCAGTGCACAGTGGAGTCTCATTAACTAGTCTCCACACTGGCATCAGGCCTCCAGAACCGTCCACCTTAGAGCCCAGGCACTGCGTGCATGGAAAAACATGTCCTCACCCCCTTGCCACAACCTCTGCTTTCTAGAGATATAGTTAAGGCAATAAAAATGCAAGCCATGGGTAACGCGCAAAATACGTGCTCAGTAAAGGGCTTGTATCAGAGCATGTGAGGAACTCTGAGAATTCAATCGTAAGACAGACGACCCTGTTTATTGTTTATTTTTTAAACCACTTTTATTTTTTGCCTTCAACCAACTCACCAGACAATCCTATTTAAGAAAAGGGCAGAACTGGACACACCTGTGGTCCTTCCTACCTACTCCGGAAGCTGAGGTGGGAGGATTGCCTGAGCCCAGAAGTTTAACCTGGGCAACATAGAAAGACCCCATCTCTCTAAAAAAAAAAAAAAAACAGAAGTGGTGGCGTATGCCTGTAGTGCCAGCTTCTTGGGGTGCTGAGGTGGGAGGATCACCTGAGCCCAGGAGGTTGAGGCTGCAGTGAGCTGTGATTGTGCCACTGTGCTCCAGCCTGGGCAACAGAGCAAGACTCTGTCTCTAGAAAAAAAACCCAAAAACCAAAACGCAAAAAACAAAAAAATAGGCAAAGGACTGGAAGAGGTACTCCCATCCTGAAAAGAAGATACACCAATGGCTAATAAGCACACGATAAAATACTCTTGCTTGTCACCAGAGAAATGCAAAGTGAAACCAAAATACTATACCAATACATGTGTGTGTATGAACACACACACAGGCACACACACGCACACAGACACACACTACAGTGGCTGAAATTAAAGAAGATACCAGTGCCATCGTGGTGACATCCAGCATGGGTGAGGATGTGTTGCAGTATCTGCTGGTGAAATTGCACAACAGTGCAGCTTGTCTGGAAAACCAGGTGGCCGTTTCTTATCAAGTTAAACATGAGCTTGCCACTCGTAGGCATTCATCAAGGAGAAAGGAAAGCATGAATGTGCTCAAAAACATGTTGGCGGATGGTCACAGCAGGGGAGGGGACAAGGCTTTCCCTTGGGCCCTTTGCATTTGCTGAAAAATCAACTTGCAAAAGGCAGACAGGAGGAAAGGCAGACACATTTATTAAGCATGTAGACGGGGGCCTTCAGAATGAAGACCCAAAGATCCAGAGGAAGCTGTCCATTTTCTTGAGATGGAGTCTCACCGCAGTCGTCCAGGCTGGAGTGCAGTGCTGCAATCTTGGCTCATTGCAACATCCGCCTCCCAGGCTCAAGCAATTTTTTTATTTTTAGTAAGACAGGGTTTAACCATGTTAGCCAGGCTGGTATCGAATTCCCGACCTCAGGTGATCTGCCTGCCTTGGCCTCCCAAAGTGCTGGGATTACTACTCAGCAGCAGAATGCACCAGACTGTGACCACAGGCAGTGATGTGGCCGTGCCAAGGGACAGAAGTCACACACACAGATGCACTGTAGACTTTCATTTATTTGAAATTCCAGATAGCAGGCAGAGAGGGATGATATAGAATACAGACGCATCCAAGAGCAGAGCTGGAGTGAGGCGGTGGCCATGGGCCCAGCCACACCAGGAAGGCTGCTGGATTTTCATGGACTTGTTAACCCAAAGAAAGACCAAGAGTGAATAGAAAACAAATGGAAACCAGAAACTGTAGAGGCCAGGTCAGTGGTTGCTTGGGACAGGGGAGAGTGGGTCAGTTACTAAGGGATTAGGGGACACCTTTAGGGAGGAAGCGTTAATCTCTTGCAGGGGGTGTGATTATATACAAGGGTCAAACTCATCCAGCTGCACACTTAAAATGGGCGCACTTTCTTATATATCAGTATTATCTTAATAATCAGGAAAGAGAAGTAAACTTTTTTTACAGTTGAGTGTCAGCCTGAGGCTGAAGGAAGTCATCTGCAGAGCTTGGTGATGATGTGGAGCTGTCAGTGGGGAGACGGGGCAGGGCAAAGGCTCTGTCCAATCCTGTTTCCACCCACGCCCATCCTACCCTCTCTCCAGAGCTCAGCTCTGAGCCCACCTTCTTCCATGGCGATTTCTGGCCACACCAGTAACCGCGCGAGTGCTCTGACGGTGGACTTTGAGAACACTGGAAATCCGGAATACCTTGATAAAATGGACTTCACCTTTGTCCAAGGCACTTCTCTCTCCCAACAGCTGACAGACCCCGACAGGGTCCTGGTGGACTCTGTTCTTTTCTGGGAGGCGTGAGGGTCATTGAGCCCTCACAGCTCACTGCAGTGGGTTGAATGGGGCCCCCCAAAATGGTACGTCCAAGTCGTAGTGCCTGGTATCTGTGAATGGGCACCCTATTTGGAGAAAGGGTCTCTGCAGATGGAATTAAGATCCCTTCTTGTGGCTCTGAAGATGAGGCACTCCTGGCTTAGGGTGGCCCAAGGCCAATGACTGCATGTCCTCATGGGGAAAGGGGAGGGCGATACGAGACGCAGACCTACAGAGAGAAGAGAGCTGCGCGTGACAGAGACAGGGGTTGGGGCGGCGCTTCCACAAGCCAAGGTGGCCGGCAGCCACCAGGAGCTGAGACGGAGCCTTCTTCAGAGGGTCCGGGAGAAACCAGCCCTGTGACTCTGATTTCAGACGTGGTCTCCAGGATTGGGAGATAATACATTTGTGTAGTCGTTTTTTGTTTGTTTGTTTAGATTAGAGACAGTCTCTCTGTGTTGCCCAGGCTGGAGGGTGGCAGCATGAACACAGGTCACTGAAGCCTCAGACTCCTGGGCTCCAGCTATCCTCCTGTCCTAGCCTCCTGAGTGGCTGGGACCACAGGAAATTTGCATCATTTTAAACCTCCAGGTGTGCTGTACTTAGCTGGGTCAGCCTCAGGGCGCTCCCATGTGCTCCCTGGCTGGGTGGAGACGGGCCTGCAAGGCTCCCGTCAGCTGCTCTCTATTTGGCCCTGCAACGGGTGGCCGGAGGGTGAGTTCAGGTTGGGGTCAGTCCACCCTCGTCCCGCCCAGGGTTGTCCAGCCTCAGGGTATGTGACCAGTTTGCATTTTCCCAGCCGAACTGGGGGCCCCTCACCTCCGAGGGCTCCTCCCCTGAGCTGCCTGCTGTCCCAGCCATGGGATGGGCGCTGCTTCAGGAGCTGAGCGCCAGCACCCTGAAGGACAGTGTCCTTGTCGTCTGCATTCTCTGATGACTGGAGAACATTTCCTTCTGGCCCATTCTGTCTGTCAAATTGCTGGTGTGGCTTCTGCTCAGATTTGATCCTGACTGATGCCAAGGGTAAGTCAACAAGGCCTGGGACCTTTGGCTGGGCCTCTGGGTGGCCCTGTGATAACACATCATGGGGAGGGAGGGAGAGGGGATCCCAGGTAGACCAGATGTCTGGGGGAATGTCAGGGGGATGAGGAAGGGGGAGGAGTGGAGGAAGAAGAGGAAGGGAAGGAGGGGGAGGGGAAAGGAAATAGGGAGAAGAAGGTAGAAGGAGGGAGGAGGAGGGGGAGGAAGAGGAGGAAAGGGAGGAGGAGGGAGAAGGAGGAGGAGGAGAAGGGAGAGAAAGGAGGAGGAGGAGGGAGAGAAAGGAGGAGGAGATGGAGGAAGAGGAGGAGGAGGAGGGAGAGAAAGGAGAAGGAGGAAGAGGAGGAGGAGGAAGAGGAGGAGGAGGAGAAGGGAGAGAAAGGAGGAGGAGGGAGAGAAAGGAGGAGGAGGAGGGAGAGAAAGGAGGAGGAGATGGAGGAAGAGGAGGAGGAGGAGGGAGAGAAAGGAGGAGGAGAAGGAGGAAGAGGAGGAGGAGGAGGAGGGAGAGAAAGGAGGAGGAGAAGGAGGAAGAGGAGGAGGAGGAAGAGGAGGAGGAGGAGGAGGGAGAGAAAGGAGGAGGAGGGAGAGAAAGGAGGAGGAGAAGGGAGAGAAAGGAGGAGAAGGGAGAGAAAGGAGGAGGAGGAGGAGGGAGAGAAAGGAGGAGGAGAAGAAGGAGGAGGGAGAAGGAGGAGGAGGAGGGCTGCTGTTTATGGAGCAGCACGAGGGCCCTGGGCTGCTGGTTCTGCACGTGCCCCAAGTTCTGCCTGTCACAGAGGAGCCCAGGGGTGTACTGACTACTCTTTATTATTAATCTGCCTGGGCCTCTGTAACAAAGGACCACAGGCCTGGCCTAAAGGCGGACACGGACCGTCTCCAGTCCTGGAGGCCAGTGGCCGAGCCAAGGCGTCAGTTGGCAGGGCCGTTTTCTCCTCAGCCTCTCTCCTGGGCTTCCCAGACCCTCTCAGGGCCATGCCTCTATGCCTGTGACTTGACCTCCCTTCTATGGAGACACCAGCCCTATGGGATTGGGGCCCACATCATGACCTCCTTTGACCTCACTTCCTTCTCTAAAGGCTTTATCTCCAAACAGCCACATTCGGAGGTCAAGGGGTTAGGACGTCAACCTACGAAGGGGCGTGATTCAATGCTTACCATAGTGCCATCATTTTACAGGAGAAGGATGGAGCTGGGACGGGGGATCGCGGCCCTGAGCCGCACCCTCAGACACAGTCCTGCTGAGATTTAGGGGCTGGACGTCCCTCCCGGAGCTGGACAGGGCTGGGTGAGAATGTGAGCCTCGCCCGGGGAGTGTCCTTGTCTATGGGGGACGTGGTGTCTCCCCCACTGGAGTTTCCCGGGGAAAGCCAGAGGTCTCCGGAGTCAGCGGAAACTTTCCGGGTCTCTTGGCCCACCGGGCAGATGATCAGGGGACAGGGGTCGTGGGTCCAGAGGCAGAAGAATGGCCGCAGGGGCCCAGGGGCAAGTCCAGAGAATGTGTAGAGCAGGGAGCCGTCCGCCCCACTGTGGAAGGAGATGCTGCTGGCATGGCAGTCCAGGGTGACGGCCACCCGCCGGAGGGGCTGGGCCAGCTGGAGGCGTGTCCTGGGGAAGGACAGGGCCCGGCAGCGCCCCCGGTACAGCTCCAGCGCCCAGACTCCGTGCCGCGGGGCCTTGGGGACCCTGCCCTTCCTCGGCAAGCCCTCCACACACACGCCGAGCACCCAGGCCTGCCTGCCGCCCACCTCCACCTCCCAGCGGTGTCTCCCCGTCCAGAAGCGCTCCCGGCCCAGGACGCAGGGCTCCAGCTCGAACCTCTCGGGGCCAGGGGGCAGGTCCTGCGGGAACAGCAGCCGCCACACGCTTCTCCCATCCTCGGACAGGCTGAGCTTGGGGCTCGCGGTGTCCGGGTCCAGCTTCGGGCTCACTGTGGAAAGAAGTCACGTGTCTGGAGCTTGGGGTGCCTCCCTTGCAGGTCGGGAACCCCAAGGCTGGTCTCCCACACTGGGGCGTCCCCCTCCATCTCCAGGAGTCCCTTCATGGTCTCTGTGTCTTGTCCCTAAGAGAGCGGGGCACATGCAGCCTGGGGCTGCCAGCGGGATCCTGGCAGAAGGTCCAGGGAGGCCAGAGTGGGGCCGGTGTGCAGGTGCACACAATGAGAGAGAGATGCAGAGAGACAGAGACGGGGAAAGAAAGAGAGACAGACAGAGAGAGAGAAAAACAGAGAGACATAGAGACAGAGTCAGAGTCAGAGAGACACAGAGACGGAGACTGAGAAGCCGAGCTGAAGGGAGGACGTGGACCACCAGCCAGCACACCTGGAAAGCCCTAGAAAGGATCCCAGCAGCCCCGATGCTGAGACAAAGGTCTCCCCAAACGCCCACATCTGCGGGAAGCAGTTCTCTCTGCTTTGTCCCAGTCCTCGTCCTGCTTCCTCAGAGGCAACCTTTCCTCTGCTGACCCTCCGTTCACGGGTCCCCTCTGTCTTGCCTGCTGTCTCAGAGTGCCACCCTTTGGGGCATGACCTGGAGATGGAGATCCGTCTACACTGCGGCTCCCTGAATGAGAGGCAGTGAGGGCAGCCTGGGCACCTGGCTGCTCCAGACACACCTTCCCGACACCGGAACCAGCACTCGGCGGCCTGCCCTGCTCCTCCAGAAGCCCTGTGCGCCACTGTGTCCCCGTCGCATGTCCCAGGCATACGTCATCGCCTGAACCCTCATCCCCAAGGGCTTCAGAGGATCCACGCTCTCCGTGATCAAAGGCCCAGCTTCCCCACTAAATGCCTCTGCCTCCTCCCTGCAGGGAAGCCCTGCTCCCCTTGCTTTTGGTTCTTTATTTCCCTCTACACAGCCCCGCTGCTAATTCCCGCCTTGCTTCTGCCCGCTCAGTCCCCTGCTCCTTGCGCCCGAGCTGTGGGACGGGCTGTTGCTACCACGTCTCCCCCACGGCCCTGGCCAGCCCCCAGCTGCCTCTTCCCTCACTGAAGAATTAGTCCAGCTCTTTGCGCTTCCCTCCATCCCAAATGCTCTCATGCAAGGAAATTTCTTATTCACATTAAAATTATTCCAGGCCGGGCGCAGTGGCTCACGCCTGTAATCCCAGCACTTTGGGAGGCCGAGGCGGGTGGATCACGAGGTCAAGAGATCGAGACCATCCTGGTCAACACGGTGAAACCCCGTCTCTACTAAAAATACAAAAAATTAGCTGGGCATGGTGGTGTGTGCCTGTAATCCCAGCTACTCAGGAGGCTGAGGCAGGAGAATTGCCTAAACCCAGGAGGCGGAGGTTGCGGTGAGCCGAGATCGCGCCATTGCACTCCAGCCTGGGTAACAAGAGCGAAACTCCGTCTAAAAAAAAAAAAAAAAATTATTCCAGATTTACAAAGAGTGACAAAAAGCATAAAGAATATGGCATATGACAACATCTTTCATAGCTATAGTAAAATGGTCAAAGCCAGAAAATGGACGTGGGCGTAGCGCTAGAAAACAGCTGTTTCGGAATCTGCAGAGCTTGTTCACGTTTTGCCAACTGTCCCTCCCAAGTCCTCCCACTGGCCCCATCTCCTGCTCAGCCAGTTTTGCCTCCCCTGGTCCTTGCCTCTCCCTTTCCACAGGGACTCTCTTCTGTGTGTGTGTGTGTGTGTGTGTGTGTGTGTGTGTGTGTGTGATGGAGTCTTGCTCTGTTGCCCAGGCTTGAGTGCAGTGGCACAACCTCGGCTCACTGCAACCTCTGCCCCCCAGTTCAAGCAATTCCCCTGCCTCAGCTTCCCAAGTACCTGGGATTACAAGTGCCCACCACCACATCCAGCTAAATTTTTTGTATTTTTAATAGAGATGGGATTTCACCATATTAGCCAGGCTTGTTTCCAACTCCTGACCTCAAGTGATCTGCCCACCTTGGCCTTTCAAAGTGCTGGGATTACAGGGGTGAGCTGCCGCGCCCGGCCTCTTCTCTGTATTTCATGAGATCATGTCCAGACGTAAAAACTCAGATTTCCCTATGTCCATGGTAACCACATCCCCAGAGCTCCCCATCAGGAAAGCAGAGACCCTCAGCATCTCCCACATGCAAGACAGCTGCGGCCATGGGCTCTCCATGCCTGCCTCTCCCAGAAATAAAAAAGAAGGAGCCCAGGCTGGGCATGGCGACTCATGCCTGTAATCCCACACTGGGGCATCCGGTACAGCTCCAGCACCCAGACTCCATGCTGCAAGGCCTTGGGGATCCTGCCCTTTTGATCCAAGCCCTCCAAGCACACACTCACACATGCATAAACACATATTCACACCTATCCACGTGCACACACATGCACACATGCAGCATACACTCATGGAAATGGATATACATGCAGTCATGCACACACACATGCATACACATGTATTCACAGTCACCCGCATGCAAACACATGCACACAGGCAGCATACACTCACACTCATGGAGACATATATACATGCACACAGGTATGCACACACACATGCATATGCACATATTCACACTCATCCACATGCAAACACATACACACACATGCACACATGCAGCATACACTCATGGAAATGGATATACATGCACACAGTCATGCACACACTCACACATGCATACACACATATTCACACCCATACACATGCAAACACATGCAAACACATGCACACATGCAGCATACACTCATAGAAAGACAGGCACACAGTCATGCACACACTCACACATGCATATGCACATATTCACACTCATCCACATGCATGCACATGCACACAGGCAGCATACACTCACACTCACAGAAACACAGGTATACATACACACAGGTGTGCATACATGAAGACACACATACATGTACATAGCCATCACACACATGCACACATGTTTGCACATACACACATGCACACATAAACACATGCACATGCATACACACACTCGTGCACACACCCACACATGCATACACAAGCACACAGACATACTCGTCCACATGCAAACACATACACACACCTGCACACAGACATGCAGAAACAAGCCTCAGAAGGCAGACTGAAGCCAGAGACAGTCTGGGCTTGCCTCCTGGTGGCCCCGGTTCGTTCCTTTCTCACTCTCCTGCTAAGTCTGGACTTTTCTTATTTCCATCAGAATGAGTGTGTAGGCCATTGGCCCTGTCTTCCTTCAACCTACCTAAGTGTGTCATAATGCTGACTTTTCTTTTCTTTTCTGAGACAGCGTCTCACTCTGTTGCCCGGTTGGAGTGCAGTGGTACCATGTCATTGCAACCTCCACCTCCTGGGTTCAAGTGATTCTCCTGCCTCAGCCTCCCAAGTAGCTGGGATTGCAGGCGCCCACAACCATGTCAGGCTAATTTTTGTATTTTTAGTAGAGATGGGGTTTTGCCATGTTGGCCAGGCTGGTCTTGAACTCCTGTCCTCAAGTGATCTGACCGCCTCGGCCTCCCAAAGTGCTGGGATTACAGGCGTGAGCCACCTCGCCCTGACTTTTCTCTTTCTTTCCTCTCCTTCTCTTCTTCTCTCTCTCCCTCCCTCCCTCTCTCTCTTTCTTCCTTTCTTTCTGCCCTCCTTTCTTCCTTCTTTCCTTCTTTCTTCCTTCCTTTGTTCCCTCCCTTCGTTCTTTCTTTCCTTTCTTTTCTTTCTCTGGCTCTGTCACCCAGGCTGGGTGCAGTAGCACAATCACAGCTCACTGTAGCCTTAAACTCCTGGATTCAAGCGATTTTCCCACCTCGGCCTCCTGAGTAGCTGGGACAACAGGCACATGCCACCATGCCGGGCTAATTTCCTTATTTTTTGTAAAGATAGGATTCTGCCATATTGCCCAGGCTAGTCTCAAACTCCTGGCCCCAAGAGATCCTCCCACCTCGCCTCCCAAAATGCTGGATGGCAGCTGTAAGCCGGCACGACCGACTCTGGTAATGCAGTCTTTGTAACCAGCCGAGCACCAGCCCTACTCTCCAAACGGGCTCTGCAGTCTAGGGACAAGTCCTCAGCTCCTGAAATGCACAGGAGGAAGGGAGTGAAGTGGACAAATGAAGGACACAGTCAATATTGAGAATCATCACAGTGATGGCACCCACAAGCCCTCCTCACGCGGCCCCTGCCCTGGATGTGACTCTGTTGGTCACCACAGCACTCTTTCAGGGTGGTGTCAGCACCCGCAGCGGACAGAGTGGCTCAGGGCTCACACCAGGCCCCTCAGCTCACGCCCATCAGACTTGGGGTTCAAGCTCAGATCTGTTTTCAAGCGAGAGTGCAACACCCTGCCCAAAATCAGCCAGTGAAGGCTAACCGAAGGACTGCTAGGAGACAGATGTCTCACTGCATAGATCTCAACTGGGCAATTCCAGAGTGGGGGGGCCCCACCAGCCACCCCGTTCCTAGAGTGTTGAGAACACATGGACAAAGCCTCAGCTCAGGGCTTCGTGCTAGGGTCCTGGGTTTGAGGGGCAGGATGTGCCTCATCTAGGCTCCCTGCTCACCGCCCCATGGCTCCGTCTCATCACTGCCGGCGGGCGGCTGCTGCTTCTCTTCTCTTCGCTCCCTGTCTTCTTCCAGCCGTCTTTTGTTCTTTTCCCTTTGACGTTTCCAGAAGATACAGAGGCCTCCAGCTGTCAGGAGTCCCACTGCCACGAGGACCAGAGGCAGAGCCGCTTTCCATGCCGTGAACCCGGAGCTTCTGGAAAAGGTAGCTGGAGAAGATTCCGGAAGCCAAGAATGTTGGGGTGAGAGGTCATGGGTGTTCTGAGGTCAAACTCGCTAAAGGGTTCACGGGTCTAGGGGCATCATATTTGCAAACTACTGTGAAATAGTTTCCAAAAAAGTATGTATCTGTGCAGGTGGTGCTAGGGACTGGATGTCTGTGTCCCCCAAAGTTCCCAGGTTGAAATCCCAACCCCCACGGTGATGATGTTAGGAGGTGAGGCCTTTGGTAGGTGAAGAGGTCATGAGGGTGGATTCCCCATAACGGATATGATGGGAATGGTGCCTTCATAAGAGGGACCCCAGAGAGCTCCCTCACCCCTTCCACCACGTGAGGACACAGTGAGAAGGTGCCGCCTATAAACCAGGAGGCGACCTCGCCGGACACCAAATCTGCCACGCCTTGATCTTGGACCGCCCCGCTCACAAAACTTACGATAACTATCTCATCTCTCAGCCACCCCGTCTGTGGTATTTTGTTATAGGACCCAAAATGGACCGAGGCAGTTGGGTATAAACACATGCATAGGAAATGGATATCAGATGTATGCGTAGGAAATAGACATTAGATATATACATAGGAATAGAGGTCAGACGTGCGCAGGAAACAGAGGTCAGATGCCGGCGTGGGAAATGGACCTTAGATGTCTATTTGTAGATAGACAAAGAGAGAGACGATAAAAAGAAATATTGCACTGAGGTGAAAATGTGGTGAACCTGAGTAAAGGGTGCACAGACAACTTCTCTATTACTGTTGCAAATGTTCTGTAAGTTTGACATAATTTAGAAAAGTAAAAGTGAAAGTTTTTGTCAAAAGGTAAATCTGGAAGCAACCAAGATGTTTTCCAGTAGGTGAATGGATCAAGAAACAGTGCTGCAGTCGCTCATGAATGCAATCCCAGCACTCTGGGAGGCCGAGGCGGGCGAATCACGAGGTCAGGAGTTCAAGACCAGCCTGACCAACATGGTAAGACCCCGTCTCTACTAAAAATACGAGGATTAGCTGGGCATGGTGGTGGGCACCTGTAGTCCCATCCACTCCAGCGGCTGAGGCAGGAGAATCGCTTGAACCCGGGAGGCAGAGGCTCAGTGGCTGAGATCACACCACCGCACTCCAGCCTGGCAACAGCGTGAGACTCCGTCTTAAAAAAGAAAACAGTCTATTTTTTAAAAACCATTGATATTAGGGTGTACATTTCTTGTTACCCCAAAGGCAAAGTTCTCCCCAGGGTCTCTGCACCCTCATCTCTGTTCCACGTCAGTAATCAGCACCCAGGTGATACACGTCCCGGGACGCCCCAGCCAGGTGAGGACAAGGACCTGCCACCTGTCCCCTCGTGCCACAAGTCCCAGAGCTGTGTGTTAGTATCCCCAGTGTCCAGGGCCATGGACTCCTGTGCTTAGGGATTGTGAGGACAGACCTGAACAGAGCACTCACCGGGCAGGCGGCTTTCAGCCACCTTCCTCTGCTCGGGGAGGAGGGGGCTGGAGATGGAGCAGGAGAGACCCTCCACAGCCCTGTCCCAGAGGGTCAAGCTGGACGCCACAGCCCAGAGCCCGGTGGTGGCTGAAGCTGAGAGATTTGTCACAGCAGGCCTCGCCTGGCCCCTGAAGTCTCTCCATTCCACCCGGGGCTCGGGGAACCAGCCTGCCGACGTGCACTCCGCCCTGACTCCGTCCTGCCTGGCCATCACCTGGATTCTGGGCTCCGTGCCCAGCCCTGAAGGAAGAGACAGCGGCTTGAATCCCTGCAGCCATGGCTGCTTCTACTTAAAGGAAAAAAAAAAACAGTCTTGAGGATTTCCAGGGTATTTTTGGCAGTTTCACAAACTGCCTACCCTGTCAAACGCCATCCCTAGCAGAGTGCCCCCATTTCCCAGACGAAAGAGGGGAAGCCCAAGCAGAAGGCCCAGGAGGACTGAACACACATCCCGTGTCCCGGACTCAGAATCCAGGTCGCAGAAGGGACCCAGGCTTGTCTGCTTCCAAGCACAAGCTCTGGGTCGCCCGGGAAGCCCCCGGATCTCCACTCTTCTCTCTCTCGGTCCCTCTGTCTCCTGTCACTTTCCCTCCCTCTCCCTGTTGCTTACTCTCTTTCCCATGTTCTCTCTCTGTCATTCGCTTTTACTGTCTCTCTGTCTCTGTCTCTATCTCCCTCACTCTTTCTGTCGCTGACTCTCTCTCTGTCTGTTTCTCTCTCTGTGTCTCTCAGTTTCTTGTTCTCTCTGTCTCTCTCCCTCTCTGTCTCTCCTGTCCCTCTCTCTCCATCTCTCTCTCCCTGTCTCTGTCATTCTCTCTGTCGTTCTTTACCTTTCTCTTTTTCTCTGCCTCTCTTTCCGCCTGTCTGTCTCCCTGCCTCTCTCTTGTCCTCTCTGTCCAGCTCTGTCTCTTTCATTCTCCACGTCTCTCTCTTTCTCTTCCCTTTCTTCCCCACCTTCCAGTCCAGTGGTGCAAGGAGGGAAGGAAGATGAAGAAGGTGGCCTGCCTTCACAGCTGTGCTTCTGGGGAGCAGCTGGGAGGGTTCACTCCCGCCCTCCTGAAACCCTCCACCTGGACACGCTGGGCCCTGAGGCCGTGCTCAGAAGTGGGGCTGACAGCCAGCTAGCCCCCGGCCTCACCTGCCACCTGCACCTGCACCACGGCCTCCCCGAACTCCGCTCCGTCCTGGAAGCAGCAGCAGTACGTCCCATTGTCGAAGGCGGTGATGCTGTGAATCCTCACGGTGGCCTTGCCAGCTGCCACGTGGTCGTTCACGAAGGTGGTCCTTCCCCTGTACTGTGGCACTTGCTCTGCATCCACGTCCATCCCTCTCTCACGCACGTGCACAGCCAGGGACGGCTGGCACCTGTACCACCTCAGCTCCATGTCCTCAGCGCTGACACTGGGGAACAGCTGGCACTGCAGCTCCACCTGTCCCCCAACCATGGCCAGAATAGGAGCCTGAGGCCCAATGACGTCAAAGTTGGCTTTCCCTGGGGGAGCAGATCAGAAAGGGCTGGGTTAGGCCATATGTGGGGAGGCCGGGTGTTCCCCCACCCGCCCCTCCCTCATCTCGGAAGCTGGGAGGACCTCTTGAGCCCTGAACTGCCGGGGAGAGGCCTCAGCTTCCTGCCATGCTGGACATGCCCGCCCCACGCCAGGGCACCTGCCTCCACTTGCACAGGGGTCTGTACAGCAGTTGTGACAGATGCTGGCCAGCGGGAGCTGCAGGAAGACCAGGGTGACAAAGGGCTGGAAGACGTCTCGAGCACACGTCACTGCCATTCCTGCCGGCAGGAGCCACGCACTGTCACCGGAAGAGGAGCCACCGCCAGGAAGCGAACAGGTGCAGAGGAAAAACACCCTGAAAGAGAAAGCAGAGAAAGTCATTCACCCCCACTCCCAAACAAGCTATGAATGCTAGAGACGGAGACACAGCACGCCTCGCCCGGTGTGTGCCTGTGCCCACCTCCTCGCAGGGACGCACCTCTCACCCCAGTCCGTCTGCAGAATTCCACAGGGACATCCGGGAGCAAAGGGGTTTGATTTTCTCACCCGCTCGTGAAGGGCCATGGCCCAGCCTCTAGCCGGTGACTGTCATGAAACACCAGAACGCTGGGGGAGAAAACCCAGGCTCGGGTTAAGCAAAGTAGAGGTCAGGACAACATCAGAGGATTCCCTTAATGTCCCTTGCTTTCCTGCTGTCCCCACGGGGACTTCCACACTCAGGGGCTGGGGGCTGGGCCCGATCCTCAGAACTCTTCGGCAGGGATGGGCAGGCTAAGCCCCTCACGAGTCTCCCTTGAGCACTTCCTGTCCTTCGGTGTAGAGAGCAGGTGCTGGGAAACAGGTATGTGGCCTTGGGCGGCTCTACCTGGCACAGCCATCCAGGCTGGGCATTTATTGTGTGTCATTAGGTAGTTATGTGGGCGCAGGCTCTTGTCCTATTCAGTTCAGGCCTTGCAGGAAGGCCCTGGCGTCCCTCTGCCCCTTGGAGATGGGGATAGGGTGGCGGAAGCAGAGACACTGAAGAGCAAACAGCATCCTGACCATAGGTAATGCTCACCTGGGCGAGGTGTGGTGGTTCACGCCTGTAATCCCAGCACTCTGGGAGGCCGAGGTGGGCAGATCATGAGGTCAGGAGTTCGAGGCCAGCCTGACCAACATGGTGAAACCCCGTCTCTACTAAAAATACAAAGATTAGCTGGGCGTGGTGGCACACACCTGTAATCCCAGCTACTCAGGAGGCTGAGGCAGGAGAATCACTTCAACCTGGGAGGCAGAAGTTACAGTGAGCCAAGATTGTGCCACTGCACTCCAGTCTGGGCGACAGAGCGAGACTCCGTCTCAGAAAGAAAGAAAACGCTCACCTGGCACTGAGGGTGGCTGAAGCTTCCCGGGAAGTCCTGGCGACTTTGGGGGAATGAATTTAGTTTCCTGCCAACTCCAGGTGGGGCGTGACCCAGGCCAACCACGCTGTCTCCAGGCAGCAATGTGCAAGTGAAAGGCAGCCTGGGCATCTGGCGAAAGCCACCAAGACCCCCAGTTTCCAGAGGTTCTTCCTTTTGTTTTTTTGCAAAAATATGTAACGGTGCCTTTTTGGCAGTTGCAGCAGGAAAAAAAAAAAAAAAAAAAAAAAAGGCTTCCCGAAGAGTGTGGTCCCCAGTGTGGAACAGCCTGGGCTGGGCAGCAGGAGATACGCCCTCCCTCAGGGAGGAGGCGGCTCAGGCCGGGACCCAGGCCAACCGCAGAAGCTGCAAATGCAGATAAAGCCCCCGGTTATCTGACGGGGTGCAGACCCAGCTGAGCCGGCCCGAGTCCTTCGGAAAAGGTGTTTATGATCATGCTGCAACGGCCTTGTTCCTGTATTGTCCTGGGGGAACGTTCAGGGCTCCCCTGCCGCAGACCTTCGCTGCCTGCCGTGGCTGGGGGTCCTGGGTGTCTGTTCTCACTGGCGACCTCCCTGGCCTGGCTTAGAACCTTCAAGCTCATTTCCAGCACCCAGCAGCCAGGCCTCTTCCCTCCTGGCCTTCTTGTTTGAAGACTCAAAAGTCTGGGCCTTTTTCTAGGGGTTTTGGTGAGAAAGGAGCCCAGGGAGGAGCTGCCTCGATTTCCTGGAGGGAGGGGCTTCATCGGAGCTCCGCAGAAGGGTGCTGAGCACTCCCGTGCCTGCGGGCGCCAGAGGAAATCCACCTGCAAGGCCCTCCCTATGTCACTCCTCGCGGAGTGTCCCTTAGGTCAGCCAGCTCTTCCCCTTTTTTTTTTTTTTTTTTTAGAAGTGAAAGGTCTCACATATTTATTACTGAACCCAGGCAACCTAAACCTTGTTTTTTTGTTTTTTTTTTTAACATGAATAATGGAAGCACCGTGCGTTGTACTAATGCCTTCATAACAGATACAGAAAGGAAACTGTTCAAACTTCTCCAGATGGCCGTGACATTTTTCAGCTTGATTTGGTAACACGACTGTGACCTACAGACAGCATAAATATGTGTGCCATCGCATGTGTAGTTTCTTACAGACCAAGCTTGGTTCTTCTCCAGTGTCTCCTTTTGGAGTTGTACCTGATTTTATTACCAGTTTTCATCCGAATCCACTGGGGAATGGGACGATTTTGCTTTTGTTTCTTGGCCAGGAATCGCTTAATCCTGAAAATCTTGTGAGAAGACATGGCGAGAAACAGAGTAATGCACACACCACGATGGCGGAGAAAGGAAGAGAGGCTGTTCCCCTTTTATATGTCCACACGTAAGAATTATGTCATCCTGTGATCTCCTTTTACCAGACTATGACCTAAAACTCCAATCACTTGTCCTTTTTAAAAAATTAATTGGCTGGGCGCGGTGGCTGATGCCTGTAACCCCAGCACTTTGAGAAGCCAAGCTGGGTGGGTTGCCTGAGGTCAGGAGTTCGAGACCAGTCTGGCCAACATGGTGAAACCCCATCTCTAATAAAAATACAAAAAACAATTAGCCGGACATGGTGGTTTGAGCCTGTAATCCCAGCTACTCGGGAAGCTGAGGCAGGGGAATCACTTGAACCAGGGAGGTGGAGGTTGCAGTGAGCCATCGCGCCGTTGCACTCCAGCCTGGTGACAGAACAAGACTCTGTCTCAAAACAAGAAAAAACATATGTATATTGTTAAAGTCAGCATCTCCCTCTGTCACCCAGGCTGGAGTGCAGTGGTGTGATCTCGGCTCACTGCACCCTTCATCTCCTGGAATCAAGCGATCATCCCATCTCAGCCTGCCAAGTGGCCAGGACCACAGGTGCACCATCACGCCTGGCTAAATTTCTGGTACTTTTGGTAGAGATAAAGTCTGGCTATGTTTCCCAGGCTGGTCTCGAACTCCTGGGCTCAAGCGATCCTCCCAACTCAGCTTATCAAAGTGCTATGGTTACTGGTGTGAGCCACCGCGCTGCGCCGAGGTACACTTGTGATGACTGGGAAGGAGGACTCGGGCTTGAGCAACCTAGAGAGAGCTGCTAGGATGCCCAGTCACACAGTGCTGAGAGCGGCTGTGACGCCTGCTGTCGGACAAAGACTGTCACAGGCACTGGGAGAAGCGATGGAGGAGAAAGGTGTCCTGGAGGTGTGGGCTTTCAGCCCATGGGTGGGTCACCTGACACGGTGGTCCTTCTGTGCACAAGCCCACATGTGGCCCAGAGCCTCTCCGGTGGGCAGCCAGGGCTCCTGCAGACACGTGCAGCCTAACCCACCTCAGGTGCAATGTTTAAAGTTCAAAGGCAAGAAGACAGGAGGTCATACACTGCGTAATTCCATTCATGTGAAATGACCAGACAGGTGAATGCAGGGACAGGAATAAAACTGTGGTTGTTGGGAGCTGAGGAGACGGGGGAGGTGGAAATGGACATGAGGAACAACTGTTTAATATTTTCAGGGCTGCCAGGCGCGGTGGCTCAAGCCTGTAATCCCAGCACTTTGGGAGGCCGAGGCAGGTGGATCACGAGGTCAAGAGATCGAGACCATCCTGGTCAACGCGGTGAAACCCCGTCTCTACTAAAAAAATACAAAAAATTAGCTGGGCATGGTGGCACGTGCCTGCAATCCCAGCTACTCAGGAGGCTGAGGCAGGAGAATTGCCTGAACCCAGGAGGCCGAGGTTGCGGTGAGCCGAGATCGCGCCACTGCACTCCAGCCTGGGTAACAAGAGCGAAACTCCTTTAGAGTGATGAAAATATTTTGGAACTAGATAGAGATGGTGTTTGCAAAACGCTGGGAACGTACTTATACCTTAAAATGGTATACTTTAAAATGGTCAATTTTGGCCCAGTGCGGTGGCTCACACCTGTAATCCCAGCACTTTGAGAGGCCAAGGTGGGCGGATCATGAGGTCAGGAGTTCAAGACCAGCCTGACCAACATGGTGAAACCCTGTCTCTACTAAAAACACAAAAATTAGCTGAGTGTGGTGGTGTGCACCTGTCATCCCGGCTACTCAGGAGGCTGAGGCAGGAGAATCGCTTGAACCCGGGAGGCAGAGGTGGCAGTGAGCTGAGATTGTGCCACTGCACTGCAGCCTGGATGACAGAGTGAGACTCCGTCTCAAAAACAACAACAAAAAAGGTCAACTTGATATTATGTAAATTTTATATCAAGTTAAAAAAAGAAAGAAAACACTTAAGAAAAAGCAGAAAAAAGAAAAAAAAGAAAAAACAACAGAGCATGAGAGAGAGGAGGGAGAGAGAAAACAAAGAAAAAAAAAGAGTTACACGTACCCCTTCTTGTGGAGCTAAAGAACAAGAAAACCCCAGATCTCAACTTTGTTAAAAATTGGGGCTGCCTGGCCTTTGGCGCCCTCTGCGGAAATGTATGTCAGTGCATCAGCCTCTCTCCCCAGTTCTTTTCTTCCCAACTTTTATTTTAGATTCAGGGGGTACATGTGCAGGTTTGTCACACAGATTTACTGTGTGAGGCTGAGGTTTGCGATCTCAGGGATCCCAGCACTCAGGGAGTGAACATCGCACCCAATAAGTTAGTTGTTCAGCCCTTTCCCCTCCCTTTCTCTCTGCTTATGTCCACGCGTGCCCAGTGTTTGGCCCCCACTTATAAGTGAGGACACACAGCATTTGGTTTTCCGTTCCTGTATTAAATTCACTTAGGATCATGGTTTCCAGCTGCATCCGTGTTTTTGCAAAGGACATAATTTTGCTTTCTTATGGCTGTGTAGTATTTCATGGTGTGTTTGCACCACATTTTCTTTATCCGGTCCCCCAATGGCAGGCATCTAGGTTGACTCCATTTCTTTGCTATTGTGAATCGTGCTGCAATAAACCTAGGAGTGCATGTGTCTTCTTGGTAGAGTGATTCCTTTTCCTTTGGGTATATACCCAGTAATGGCATTGCTGGGTCAAACGGTAGTTCTACTTTCAGTTCTTTCGGAAACCTCCAACGGCTTTCCACAGTAGCTGAACAAATACGCTCCCAGACGGTATATAAAGGTTGCCTTTTTCTCTGCAAATTTGCTAATATCTGTTAATTTTTTTACTTTTAATAATAGCCATTCTGACTGGTGAGGTGGTGTCTCATTGCGGTTTTGATCTGCGTTTCTGATGAATAGTGATGTTGAGCGTTTCTCATGTTTGCTGGCCGCATGGATGTCTTCTTTTGAGATGCGTCTGTTCACGTCCTTCTGTTCTGGTCACCCCCAGGACCTAAAAATGGCGCATATAGTCGAACTTTATGTGACCTGGGGATTTCCAAATCTGAAGTCTGTCCGGGAACTCATTTTGAAACGTGGACAAGCTGAGGTCAAGAATGAGATCATCCGTCTGACAGACAACACAGTGCTCAAGGAGCACCTGGGGAAGTCTGGTGTCATTTGCTTGGAAGACCTCATTCATGAAATTGCCTTCCCGGAGAAGCATTTCCGGAGATCTCATGGTTCTTTCGCCCTTTCCACCTCTCAGTGGCCCATCATGCCACCAAAAATAGAGTGGGCTTCCTCAGGGAGATGGGCACACCTGGTTATCGGGGTAAATGCATCAATCAGCTCATCCACCAGCTGAACTAGGCCCAGGTGCCAAACTGCAGGAAATTTTTATCAATGAAGTGGAAGCATATGTTTCTGTGTTTTGGGGAATTTTTATCAAGTATCTTCAGAGATTATTTCCTGCATTATCTTCAAAAACTGGAAAGGAAGGGTCAAAGAAAAGACAGTAGGTGGCCGGTGCGGTGGCTCATGCCTGTAATCCCAGCACTTTGAGAGGCCGATCACCTGAGGATCAGGAATTCAAGACCAGCCTGACCAACATGGCAAAATCCCGTCTCTACTAAAAATACAAAAATTAGCCAGGCATGGTGGCGCATGCCTGTAATCCCAGCTACTTGGGAGGCTGAAGCAGGAGAATCGCTTGAACCCAAGAGGCGGAGGTTGCAGTGAACCGAGATCACGCCAATGCACTGTAGCCTGGGCAATAAGAGCGAAACTCCATCTCAAAAGAAAAAAAAAAGAAAAAACAGCAGCTTACATTCATGGCAAGCACCTCTCATTGCAGCCCAGCTCCAAGGAAAAATTCTGGTGTTTTCTACATTGGCTGCCTGCTTCGTTGCATCTCCTGTCCTGGGGTTTACTGTTGGTAAATGCGTAACTCTAGCC